TGGGTGTATTGTGAAGGCACGATTTGTGAAATTGCCTGGTAATTGGGGTTTTAGAGAAAGGGAGAAGTCAAAGATGAAACCCATGTTTCTGGCCTGACCCAGAAGATGATGTGGCTGTGAACGGACGTGGAGAAAAACTGAGGGTGGAGACCACATGTGGGGAATGATCAGGAATTAAATTTTGGACATTCCTAAAAGTTATCAAAGCCCAAATATAGAGTCAAGACCACCTGGATTTGGGTCCTGACTCTGACACTTAACCATGTGACCTTGATCGAGTCGCTTGAGTCCTCTGTGCTCCAAAGTTCTCAGGTATAAAATGAGGACGAATACTGGCCTCTATCTCAAAGAGTGGATGTCAGGAGGAAATGCTTGCCGCCCAGACTTCTGTGTGTGTGCCATCTAATTCTTCAAAAAGGCTCAGAACTTTTGAGATCAGGAAGAAATCTTCCCTCATTTCTAGGCCTGCTTATCCCATCTCAAATAACACTAAGCCCCCTAGATTTTGAAAGCAGAGATGTGGCTGTCTGCTATGGTTTGGGGACAGCTGTAAGGAAGCTTTCAAAGCAGCTGGTATAGGCATACAACTAGAACATTTTCTTCACCTCAGTTTCCTGGCAAAACAAGGCTTGCCATTAGAAGGGAAAGGTTTTAATTACAAGGCCACCTGTCCAGCCATCTGAAGCCAACCCCAGCCTCTGGCTGGTTCCCTGTGGGCAATGGGGCATTTAGGGGGACTGTGCTCAGAGTCCCTAATGTCTTTCACATCTCATAGTGCAGTATAATCATGGAGAAAATGAACAGATCTCAAAAACAGGCCCCATTATTGCCTCCCTCCCCCATTTGTTATTACGGATGCGGAGAGAGTTTGAGGGTTTGAGAGAAACCAGCTTCATCCTTTCCTTCCATGTGTTGAGCACAAGGTGGCTTTAAACCAAATTATCTTGCGCTCTCCAAAGCAAACTGCACCCCTCTAATTCCCCCCTCCCCAAATGGAGATAAGTCGTTTTCTAAATTATTAATTGTCCACTGACATTTTTACACTGACGTATATATGAAAGGTGAGCTGGCTATATTCAAGTGTATAAAAGAAAAATAAAAATTAATGGAAATTCCTAACTCTCAACATAAAAAAGAAAAAAAGAAAGAAAAGAGAAGAAAGAGAAAAGAATCAAATAAAAAAGAGAAAAGACAGTAAAAGTAACAAATCATTTTTGGGGTGTCATTATTTAAACCACATATGAATACACAGACATTCAAATATTTTCCATCTCCAGCTTTTATTTTTTTTAATGTATTTACTTATTTTGAGAGAGAGAAAGAAAGAGACACAGCATGAGTGGGGAAGGGGCAGAGAGAGAGGGAATGGAAGGGAATCCCAAGCAGGCTCCACACCATCAATGCACAGCCCGATGTGGGATTCAATGTCACAACCTGAACCAAAATCAAAAGTCAGATGCTTAAATGGACTGAGCCACCCACCCAGGGGCCCCTCAGCATTTTTTTTTTCTTCTCAAGTGCCAGGAAAATTAAATTGTAGACGGTCACAGAGAAAGTTCATTGTTCCGTACTTAAAACAGCTTCCATTTCTTCCTGGGCCCATAGCTACACTACATTTCTCAACCTCCCAGATGGGGCCAAGAGACTGCATTCTGGCCAGCGGGATATGGGGGGAAGCGAAGGGTGCCAGTTCAGGCCTGGTCCATTACAACCTCCCATGTGTAATATGCCATGTTCTTTTCCTTTCTGTGTGATCTTGGTTGCTACGTGATGGGGACGGGGGAGCCACAACATGGAAGACACCTGGAAGCTCGAAGCACTGCTTAGAGGAGAACCACCCACTGACCAGGAACAGCAGGTGAGAAGTGGATTGGATAGTAAGCTGCTGAAATGTTGACGTTTATCTGTTACCAGCAAATAGTGTTCCACTAACTCATACATAGCTCTCATCTCACCCATCCCCTCCCAGACAGCCTCACTTCGCCATTGGCAAATGCTGAGATCTCCTAAGACCACGTCAAAAAGGTTTTAAATAAAGTCAATCCACAGACGAACCACAATCAACACTGAATACCTGTGTCAGCCCCTTTGGTCTCAACCTCAAGACTTCTTTAGCTGAAAAGTGATGTTTTCATCAGGAATGTATTATTCCGTACAACAGCATGCACCACAAACATGCTGTCAGTATTTTTAAAGGAAGAAATTACATTTAGCAAGATCAGAGATCCCAAATAAATAATAGTTAGAAGTTACATAATCCATTAGGGGCCATAATAATGGAGAGAGCAT